GTTACTTATTTTTATTTTTTTTATCCACAACGAGGAAGCTCTTGGCCTGTATCTCACCTGATGGTAAGTGATGATCAGGCCGAAGTTGGAAGCGAGCTTCACCCGGAATCCTCAACCACGGAGGAACTGGCTATCTTACCTCCAACTGTCGGAACACAACAATGCTGTTAACATTGTTGTTATGGCGACAAACTTAGGTAAGATGGTGGTAGCTAGCCAGGCGGACTTAGAACAAGCCCTACCACCAACCAAACCAACTTATCTACTTAACACGTGTTAATCAGCCTTTACGAACGAGTATCAGCCCTCCTCCTCATTTAATAGCATCGCATACCATCCTCTTTCTTTCGCAACCAGTTCTCATTCACTCATCGTATACCCGTAACCCCTTATCACTTACTCGCACAACTACATTCCCTCGCTTCCCTCCCGCTACTCACTCGTTGACTTTCTTTCGCAACCAGTATTCATTCACTCATCGTATACCCGTAACCCCTTATCACTTACTCGCACAAGTACATTCCCTCGCTTCCCTCGCGCTACTCACTCGTTGACGTATCGGAAGATGCCGCGCACGTCGACCTCCCTTGCCAATGCGCCGGCCAGCGGCACCGTCTGCTCCGGGCTGCCCATGCCCACTAGTACCGCCACGCCGCCGGATTTGGTCGCCTGGAGATATACAAGTTATTTTCTAAAGGCTGTCAAACATCTGCCTAGTACCTGCATACTGCCTAGCTCGCATAAATATTTATAACTTTGTAAATTATAAAGCCTGTAAACCTTTGAAAAAGAGGCTGACAATAGTGACTGAGTTTCTTGCACTGCTTCTTCTCAGCACTGGCCCTGAAGCAGTGGTAGGGTTAATACTGGGACGTGTAAAAGTGCTTTTTTAAGCCTATTTACAGAAATAAATGAGTTTTATCAATGGATTAGAACAATGCAACGTTCTGTAAAGGTGGGTCTATGCTAGCGAGTGCAAGCCGAGCCGCTTTACTCGCGGTATCAAATGTGGACGTACAACAAGTCTACAACGATCACTCTCTTTTGCACGATGCAAATTTGTGTTCGTCAAAAAACGGAGCACAATCGAGCGCTCCTTCGAGTCTCCACATGAATTTAGGCTCGGCTCATCTAGCGTAGATCCACTTTTATAGATAGTCGAGCTGTTTTACAACCGTCTTTTGAGATTGAAAGCCCCCTGTGCTCGCCTATTGCCCAGTGAAGTTGAAAAAACTACCTGCGGCTACCAGTATAGTCATTCGGAAAAAAAAACTATGTATTTCTCATTAATAATAATTAATGTAAGAATGGGGTTCTATCCAGCAGCATCGCGGCTGCATCCATCTGCTTCGCGAAGTCTAAGCTGACTGTAGCTTCTCTAATATGGATCACTCACCAGCATACACATGCGGACTGTAGCGGAGACCCCGCTAGCATCAAATGAGACATCAGAATGCGCTCCCAGGAGTTCATGCACCTTCCTGACGACATCAGGCTTTTTTTCCTCACGCGACACCAATAGCGTCGCGTCCGCGCCCATCTATCTGGCGAAGTCTAAGATGACTGTAGCTTCTCTAATATGGATCACTTACCAGCATACACATGCGGACTGTAGCGGAGACTCCGCTAGCGTCGAATGAGACGTCAGGGTGGGCTCCCAGGAGTTCATGCACCTTCCTGACGACATCGGGCTCTTTGTCATCGCGCGATACAAGCAGTGTGGCGTCCGCGCCCATCTGCTTGGCAAAGTCTAGGCGCGACTGCAGCACGTCTGCGAAAAACGAAGATGGAGCTGAATATAAGATTTTAAACTTTCTTCAAGCCGTGAGTACATAATGTAACTCATTAATAAATGTCGCTTTAAGACCCGTGTCTTTATATTTTAGTCGAAATGGAGCTGAGTATTTGCTCTGAAGCAGTATTTAAGTATTATCCTGTGGACCATAGGTAAAGAAATACTGCTTACATCGAGCCCGGTCGAGTTTACTGCGCACCTAGCAGGCGTGACGTCACATCGACGCTCTGGTACGGACGAGGCGAATGCGAGAGGTGTGCGGTTAATGGGTTAACATATTTTAAGTAAAACTTCCTCGATTTTTGTTAAGATTGAAGCAAGGATCACTCAATCCACATGCACATGGAGATTCGCCTTCCAGCTAGGTGTGCAGTTAGCTCGATTGTGTTATAGCACAGAATAAGTAATAGTACAGGTACAGAAGGATTACTCCGCAAGACGATTTAAATAAATGCGAGTCTTGCTACGACGCGATACAGTGGAATTCAGCTCGCACAGCACTACGTACCTACAATTTTATTCACCTACAAGTTTTGTCTCTTTCTATCGCGTGCCTCTGAACTCTTCTTACGCTGTTAGGGTTGCTGTCTAGTGAAAAAATAATTAATCTACTTATTTGTAATGAGGTACGTATGTAGGTAAGTATGCATTCATTGTGGAAAACCTTCATAGTAGGTTAGGTTCCTATACTATCCTAAGAATTATTGATTACCTACATGGCCAACATACCTTTCAGCATCTTTGGGAAGCGAAAAAAAAAGATAAATCCGGTAGATTACTTTTCGAATTTAAACACCCGAACGCCGCACAATATTTCTTTCTCTTTATGTCCATTTTTAAATAATACTTCGATCATAGAATTATAATCATACTACAACGCACGCCAGCGTCCTGACGGGCGCGCGCGTGACACTCGACTGATATAATACCCGCCGGCGGGGCGCTTCGCTGTAGGTAATTATCGTATGTACCGCGCGGAGTGAGCCAGGCCTGGTTATAGGTACGACTTTGAGCCCTAAGGTGAACAACAATATGACCATAGGTTGCAGAAAGGCGCTGGATGCAGGCCGCTTCCAAACGACCAATCTATAAATCATTGAGGAGGTCTGTCTTGTTGCTGAAATGCTAACTCACCAGTGACAAGAATCTTGCTAGCACCCATGGCTCTTGCCGTCATCATGATGAGCAGGCCGATGGGCCCGGCGCCCAGCACCATGACGTCATGGCTGTCCGTCACATTGGGGGAGGCCTATGTTCAGCAGTGGACGTCCTGTTGCTGTAATAATGATGATGACGTCATCACCCGTGATGAGGATCTCGCTAGCGTCCTGAGTAGGCCGAGCAGAAGACCCTATCAAGTTTGCAAGGTGCTGTATGCAGCCCTAAACCGGCCAATCTAGAGACCTATGTTCAGCTGTGAGCGACCCGCAGCTGTAATGGTGACGTACCAGTGACGAGGATCTTGCTGCCGCCTGACTAAAAGGCCGAGCAGATGCAGTCCTATGTCGGCTGTGGACGTCTTGTGCCTGTAATGATGATGCCTCACCAACTCACCCGTGACGAGGATCTTGCTAGCGCCCATGGCTCTTGCCGTCATCATGATGAGCAGGCCGATGGGCCCGGCGCCCAGCACCATGACGCCATGGCCCGCCGTGACGCCGCCGCGTCGGCACGCGTGCACCGCTACTGACAGCGGCTCTAGAAGAGCGCCTTCTTCCATCGTCACGTGGTCAGGGAGTCTGGGGAAATGGTACTAATCAATCATAAGGCAAAGGACGAAGCACACCACGTTACGTGTTTAAGTAGGGTGGACGCCTGACTGACCGCACGGCGAAAGGCGATACGGTATTGATCCCTTTCCGGGTTGATAAGTGTGTATGACCTTAAGACTTTTATACTGTGCAATTGTCGTTAAAATTTACCATCTAGGGGAGTGACACCACTGGTCAATCATAAGGCAATCAACGTCTTGACATAAATACTGCGAAACCGACGTTGAAAACTAGTCCCATTCCCCATAGACATGAGCGAAGTACACAAAACAAACGAAACTTTCATAAATAAGCATTCGTGAAGGTTCAATTCCAAAATCGCTTGGTCAAGGCACTTTGAATTTAAATGCTAGTTGCAGTTGATTATAAGATTAATCCCATTTCTCATTTCTACCCTAAGAATTTACAGCTTCAACCAAAATTCGTCCTCTGCTGGACAAAGGCCTCCCTCAAGGATTTCCATGACGAAAATTCGCTCTCGAAAACTTTTCTTCTTCAATACAACCAAATCACTTGACCGCAAAAAAGTCCACTGAAAGTGAATATTATGTTTGTCAATTGTTTACGTACTTGTAGCAGAAGTCGGCGGCGTGCTTGTAGTACCGCACCAGGTTGCCGTGGTAGGGCGGCGTGGCGCAAAACTGCATGTCCGGGCACAGGTGGTAGCGGCCCGTCTTGCAGAACTCGCAGTACCGGCACGGCACGCCCGGCTCGATGGCCACGCGGTCGCCCACTTGGAGGGTCTTCACTTTGGCGCCGAGCTGGAATTTAAAGCTACAGTTATTTCTAACTAGCTGACCCGGCGAACTTTGTTCCGCCTTAATGGCAATAAATAAGCAGAGTTTTTTTTTATTTCGAACGGGATAAAAAGTATCCTATGTCCTTCTCCTGGCTCTAAACTACCTCCCTGACAATTTTCAGCTAAATCGGTTCAGCCGTTCTTGAGTTATAAGTGGTGTAACTAACACGACTTTCTTTTATATATGTTACGGCTAAAGATAGGTGTGTACATAAACTTAAGATTAGCCGGCTAAACTTAAGTTTATCTTTGATGAGGTGTTAATGTTAGTTTCTTCTATCTTTAGCCGGCTAAACTTAAGTGTAACCGCAGGCCCTTGGCTAAAAATGTAGAAGGAAATTGAAAAGGAAACAATGTAATAATATTTACTATTTTGACACGAAAACTTTAATAAAAATAATCACTTTGATTACACATGTACTTTTATGTACCTATGTAGGTATTCAAAATTACAATTATTACAATAACAAATTATTAATTACTTAAAACAATATCTACCTAATCATTAAAATAAAATAATAAGGAACCATTTGGTCATTACAGAATCTTCTGTAGGTATTTAAAATTACAAAATAAAAGTGCACGCGCGTTGTCTCCCCACCGCCCCCTCAAGCCCTCCGCCGGTCTGGCGCGCCCATCGAACACATTTTTAGCCGTTTCGTTTTGGCTAATGTGCACATTAGCCGGCTAAAGATGGAATATCACGACGCAAACTAACATGTTATCGAACTTTAGCTGCTTCTCGAAGATAAACTTAAGTTTAGCCGGCTAATCTTAAGTTTATGTTCACAACTATCTTTAGCCGTAACATATATATAGATAGAAATACAGCCTAAGGGTGTGTGCTGCCGGTTTCTACGAATCAACCGGTCAAGAAACGCCGTAACGGGCCTCTCCAACACGTCTGGCCAACGTGGAGAGTGTAGGCCTATCCTTTATCATATTATCATCATCATCATCTCAGCCATATGACGTTCACTGCTGAACATAGACCTAGCTCCCCCAATGCTTTCCATGTTGCCCGGGTGGTAGCGGCCTGCATCCAGCGCCTTCCTGCTACCTTTGCGATGTCGTCGGTTCACCTTGTGGACGTCTCACGCTGCATTTTCAGGTATCTTTCATATACGTCATGGTAAAGTAGAGGTTATCTTACAAGAGAGTTTGAAGCGAAGTTTTTTTTTTCTTTCAGCTCTTTAATCCCGTTTTCCACCGCCAAAGAGAAATGAACTAGGGGTGTCTAGCGGGGGGGTTTTTGTATCGTAGTGTAATAGGATTGATTTTTCACCGAAAAAGAGTTCGGGAGTATTGATTTTAACTCTTCTGGCTTCTGTATCTATTTTCGGAAATCATTCTTAGGGGCATGAATGTTTTTCATTTTGTCTCGCTATTATCTTCGATTCGTTACTTTTAAGCATTATTTGAGCGACTAAAATGGATACCCATAACTAGTTACAAACAAGTGTGGCATTAAGATAAAAGAATTCAGAGTTGAATAAATTATAATTATGGTTATCAAGCATTATTTACGCGAGTTTATAGAAAAAAGCCGGTTGCGAACCGGCCCCTAAGCTGTCTCCAATCAACACGCTTGTGACGTCGCGACAGTGAAGTTCAAGGCGACTCCGACGCAAATAGCCGCGGGCGTGTCCTATACAGTCAATAGCACATCAGGTTATACATTTTTCTTGCAAAATAGTACCTACTACCACCGCATAAAGACGCCAGTGTTTAGTTTGATATGACGTCATTCGCTGGCACTGTGGATAGTTTACTACGGTTGTGTACAAACACACCGAGTCACTCGGAGTCGGCACTCGGTCCGAGTGCATAAAACCGGGTACACACAACAGTGCATAGATATGCAGCTAGTGCCGGGATATCTACTAACTACAAACTAACCCGATTGTTTCTGCAAAATCGAAATAACATCATCATCATTTCAGCTATACAACGTCTACTGCTGAACCATTAGGAGTCAATGGCTTTTCGTATAAAGTCGTTCAAGGCTTCAAAGCGGGCAGTCAAATTTTTCTATAGAATTTGACAGCGGCGGCGGCGCGTTGAGGAGAGAAGTGGAAATAGTGAAATCTGTGGTGGAATTGTGTAAAGCAATTGTTATCATTTGACAGTTCATAACGTACGATTATTCTGTCAAACGCTTTGTTTAACTGACTTTATCGTACGTTATGAACTGTCAAATGATTACGATTGCTTTACACAATTCCTCCTCTGATTGGTTATTCAAAACACTTCTCCGCTGCGCCTTGGTGGAAACCAGGCCTTAGGTGTAAGTTCACCATTAGAGGGCCAATAATATACAGTTGCATTAGATCGAACTTATTTTTTTTTCACTCCAATATACAGAACACTGGTCTTATGCCATGTAGGCCTAGCATGCGCGCCGCGATAAGCTTTTATCGCGCCATTTTATCGATCTTACGCGATAAGCCCATACACTTGACGTCTGAAATCATCGATAAGATTTTATCACAGCACGCAATGGACGGATAGCGGACGGCGCGCAACTGGGATATACGTCATACGGGTGAGAGACATGTTATTGTGTTACCTTGGCGACGACGCCGCTGGCCTCGTGGCCCATGATCATGGGCTCCTTGAGTAAGAAGTGTCCGCACGCGCCGGACTGCCAGTAGTGCACGTCCGAGCCGCAGATGCCCACGCAGTCCATGCGCAGTAGCACCTCTGCAAAACCGATAAAATGCATTTTAGGCTACTAGAAAGAAAGAAAGAAAGAAAGAAAGAAAGAAAGAAAGAAAAACATTTATTTGGTTCCAACTTAAAAAAATATAACACACAGAATCATATAACAAAAAACAAGTATATGTTAGAACCAAAATTGGCCACCGCTCAGCATGTGTCATGCTCTGGAGTGGTACCTAATTAAAACCAGAACACGACGCTGTTATTCTGCGGTGACCATTGACCATGACCAGAAATAACACCTATATTCCAACTAAATTTTAATATAACCTCCTCTATGGTCTAGTGCAGGGGTCTCCAATCTTTGAAGCCTTGGGGCCTTAATTTTTTTTTCGTAAGGTTGCAAAGGCCATAACAATTTAATTTTTTCTGCCCACCTATGCAAACATAGACTTAGTCTTAAGCTGTCGCGGGCCGGATTGATGACAGTGGCGGGCCGGGTATGCTCCGCGGGCCATAGTTTGGAGACCCCTGGTCTAGTGGTATAACCATCTGCTTCAGACCCAGAGATCCCCCGGTGGGAGCAAAATTTTCTTCCAGTTTGGTTCTTAGCAGGGCTTATAATTTGTTCTCAGTCCGCCTGGCTAGCTAAACTACAAATTCAAATTCATTTATTTGCACAGAAACATGGTACAGTACAGATGTCAGATAAAAACAATAAGGTTCAACATGTTTCGTCTAAAAGTCCGTCGTTATAACAACAATGTTAACAGCATTGTTGTTTCAGAAGTTGGCGGTAAGTAAGACAACCAGGCTCCTCTGAGGATTCAGGCTGAAGCTCGCTTTCACCTTCAGCCTGATTATCACTTCAACCATCAAGTTCAGATTAATCAATCGTTGTAGAAAATAAAAAATAATTCGTCATTCAAAGAAAGTACTGAGTTACAAGGACGTTTTACAGTGAAACTGTAATTACAACCCGGTCGAGTCAACTGCGCACATGGCGGCCGTGACGTCACATCGACGCACGGTACGGCTGTACGGCTAGCACGAAAAACTTTCGAGTTCGAATCGTTTGCGTATTCGAATCGCCATCAAAAGATTTAGTACGAAAACTACAACAGCGCCCTTGTGAACGTGTCGTAAAGTGAACTTAGTATGAGAAAAGGTTGCACGAAACTTATTTTGAGAATCAAAATTGTCACGTTATCGTTTAATTCGAAGGTTGAGTATCGAATTTTGCCGAATACGCAAACGATTCGAAGACGAAAGTTGTTCATGCTTCATGCTACTGGTACTGAGGTACTGGTACGAACGGGGCGAACGCGGGGAGATGAGCGGCTGAGTGCTAGGGAGAGTCGCATTCCAGCGAGTTGCGCAGTTAACTCGACCGGGTTGTAGGAGTCAGTTAAGCCCATCATCATCATCATCATTTCAGCCAAAGGACGTCCATTGCTGAACATAGGCCTCATCGAATGCTTTCCACTTTGATCGATTGGTAGCGGCCTGCGTCCAGCGCTTCCCTGCTACCTTTATGATGTCATCAGTCCACCTTGTGGGTGGAAGTCCCACGCTGCGTTTTCCAGTACGTGACCCAACTCCAGAACCTTGCTGACCCATCGGCCGTCAGTTCTGCGTACTATGTGCCCTGCCCATTGCCACTTCAGCTTGCTAATCAGTCGGGCTATGTCAGTTAATCCCTAGATACAATGATGTACTCACCATCATCAGCTATTTGTGGTATCGGCGTTTGTATCTGGAAATATAATATAGTGGTTTAAGAAAATAAAAATTGCAGTCTCTTGAAAATATGTAAGTTCTACAAAAGTGCACCTAGTGTAGCTACATAAAAGTAGGTAGGTATGTACAGTCACGGAATGAAAAGGTTCGTCAGTTTTCAAATTGATTCCTTCAACGAATCGCGAGCACATATTACCTTTTGAAACTATGTTACAGAATAATCTCGAGTTAGAGAAAATAATATTTAACTGTTCGTCAGTAAAGTTCAAAATTATTCAGATCAAAGTTGTTTGACGATTTATCTTGTCAAGATCATTATGATTGATAAACTAAAACCTTCTTGTTGGTTCAACCTGCCATTATTATTTCTATTAAATAAAAAAAAACTACACTTTGTAACATTGCATGGGATAGAAAATTAAACAAGCAAAACCTTATTCGTTAGCAAACGTCATATTTATTTAAATGTTAGCAGCACTGTTTCTTGCACGGTTATGTTGGCAGGTTTGATTCTTACAGTACCTAGTGCAAGCGAAAACCGACACTAAGGTGACGAACCTTTTCATTCCGCGACTGTACGTTGTTGTATGACTTCCATAATCTCTTATCTATGCAAGTAATGACAGTTAAGTAAGAAGTCAGAACTATAAACTGATATCTTTATATCTTTGCATGGGTCTAAGAGATAAATGTTTATTAATTATCATTTTATTACACTCATTTAGATATTTGTTTCAGAGCAACAACAGTTTGTTATGTAAATGTATAATGATCCTACTAATATTATAAATGCGAAAGTTTGGATGTCTGAATGTTTGTTACTCTTTCACGCAAAAACTACGGAACGGATTTAAATGAAACTTTACAGTATTATTGTTTATAACCCAGATTAACATTTATAGGCTATAATTTATGACGATATGTGACAAACGAAATTTCACGCGGGTGAAGCCGCGGGCAAAAGCTAGTACCTACATACATAATTATTTATTACATAACTGAACATACAAAAAGAGTGACCACTTGAATGTTTATCTTAAAAACAATATTTAATTCAATACTTAGATGAGTTATTTTCGTAAGAGTTAAAGGATTTTAATAAAATAATTTACGAAACAACATTTTCAAGTTAAAGAAAATATTTTTACGGGATCACTGTATATCATTTAATTATAATAGTGGGCATTAATTTTGATAAAAATTTACGTAACGCAGCAAAAAAATATAGATAACTTTAATCATACTTTGACCACGTCATATTATTTAAAATCATAAAAAATAAATAAACGAGTAATTAAAAAGTACTTAATTCTGTTTTTCAATACGTAAATTAATTCATCTTTTTAAAGTTAGCTAAAGTTTTAGCTATCGTTGAAAATTCACAGAAAAACAGAAATGATTACAGTTACATAAAATTATTAAAATCAGTAGGTTCTAAAATAAAACCTAATAAAAAAAATCAACAGCTTGTTATTTTAAAATCACTGATCTTTATTATCCGGATAATAAATAGAGCTCAACTTATCCAATTCATAAAATGACCGTAGTAGAGCCGTATCGTCTCTATCGAGCGAAACTGCGCGTACAATCCAATATCCAAATTATTTCCCCGCAAAATTAATCTACGAGAGCATTTTCTACGACTGTCACTTTAAAATATTAAGTGGTACTTACCAGCTGCATGTCCTTAGGCTTATAAAGCATCGCGGTGAGGTTATCTTGCGCCATGGTGCGTGCGTGCGGGGCTTCGGTCGATTCACAACTGACTTGGGGAGACAAGGACCGAATGGACGACAAAAGAGGCGGGTGTAGTAAGCCCGCTGCTATTGTGGTGCGATTTGTAACGCATCTTGGACAAATAAATGGTTAAGAGAGCTAAACAAGGTTTTCAAGTTCTTTAATTTCTTTGGGTTCGGTTATTAGTTGAAAAAGAAACACCACGATGTTGAGTGATTAGAAAGCTGAAAGCTTTAAGCGGTTACCCTACCTAGGTTCTATTAATTTACTTGTACTACTCGTACTAGGGACACTAAGAAAGAAAAAAATAGTTTCCATGGATTCATGATTGAAGCAAATAAAGATATTCTATTCATTGACGGCTTTAATAAATCAAACTCCAAAATAAAACATTCCGTGCTTTGTGAGCATTGTTGTGTTTCGGCAGTTGGAGGTAATAAGATAGCCAGTTCGTCTGTGGTTGAAGATTCTGGGTGAAGAAGCACGCTTTTTTCTTCGGACTAGATCATCACTTTGAAAAGCTTCTCTATCAAAAGTCTAACTCTGAAACGTCTAGGGTTGTTATATCGAAATATTTTTACCAGTCTGAGCCTTTAATATGTTCTTGAGTAGGACCAAATTCATACTAGAGGTTGAGTGTAGTTTCAGAATAGTTTTTTTTATCCACAACGAGGAAGCTCTTGGCCTGTATCTCACCTGATGGTAAGTGACGATCAGGCCGAAGGTGGAAGCAAGCTTCACCCGTAATCCTCAACTACAGAGGAACTGGCTATCTTACCTCTAATTGCCGGAACATAACATTGTTGTTATGGCGACAGACTTAGGTAAGATGGTGGTAGCTAGCCAGGCGGACTTAGAACAAGCCCTACCACTAACAAAACCGAACAGGAAAATCTGCCCTCACTGGGAATCGAACCCGAGTTCCGAGTGATCCTACTGCATACTGTTATAATTGTGGTCAGTGATTGTGGCACGTTGTGAATGGCGGTCACGCGCGGACAACTATGTCAAAATGCCGGCCGGTTTGCTAATTTGGCATCGGAGGTGTGTCTACAAATATAAATAATATTATGCAGTTGAATTACGTACAATTATATTATTTTAGTCGCAATGGAAAAAACCTCATATTGAATTTATTTTGGTAGATAAGTAATCCGACGAAAGACCTTGTATAAAACATGATTCACAAAAACATTTCTGAATGGGTGTAGCTTTTTTTACCCGACTGCGTTATATTATTATGTTCCTATGGGCTTGCCTTATAGGGGCAAAGGGGCTACCTTCTGTATCACCAGCAGAGTTGCTGAAATATCGAAGTTTTCACACTACAATGTACTCATCTATTGTTCACTACTACGGGAAAATCATTTTAAAAATAATGAAAAATAGAAAATACAACGTGTAACATCATTATGTCTGTTACAGCGTAACTTTGTGCCTAGGAGTTACGTTTTAAACCAACTGTGTAAATAAAGATGTTTAAACGTTTTATAATAATGTCACCTATTACTTAAAACGTTTACAATATTTATGCGCCGTTTCTATATTTAGAGTTAACTGAGTGAGTTAACTTACCTAGTAAGCGAAAAGCTTTTTATGCCCATCTTAAATCTTCTACTACATGATAACATGAATGATTAGTGAAATAACAATAGGTCAGCTCCCCCACTGGGTCCACTGTGTTAACAATGGTCCGGCAGCTGGCCGCCATTATTATTTATTCTGCTACGCGCAATCATCGAATATCGATTGATTTCAATTGGAATCGCTAGGGGTATTCGGAATATTGCTATTTACCCAGACATTCTATAAAACGAATAAAATAAGGTATTTTATACTCTTCTAAGACTACTAGATATTATAATGTAATAGAAACAAACCATAAATAAAAATGCGATCTAACATTAAATGCGGATAGGAAATTGTATGTATAGACAACAGCACGTTAAGCTAAATACTATGGCATCTTTTGTGGTCGTAATAAGTGCTACTTTGCAATAAAAATGTATAGTCTGATGTGCTGTTCACTGTACCTATCTTCTATTATATAAAAGAAAGTCGAGTTAGTTACTCCACTTATAACTCAAGAACGGCTGAACTGATTTAGCTGAAAATGGTCAGGGAGGTAGTTTAGAGCCAGGAGAAGGACATAGGATACTTTTTATCCCGTTATTTATTGCCATTAAGGCGGAACAAAGTTCGCGGGGTCAGCTAGTTTGCCATAAATTACGGAAAACGTTTCCATTATTATGCTTTATGCGACGATAATATCTTCGCAATAACACATACTTTATCGTTAACAAGGAGTAAAAAACAATCTTCCACTTATCACCATGTTGTTGACAGAATAATAACGTGTTGTATTCAGATAACTCAAGGAGTTTCATAATAAATTGTGTATTTGTAACCGATAAGAATCAGATTGTTAACGCAATGCAAACAGTAGAACAATAAACAAATTGAGCTTATCGCTACATGCGATCTCTTTCAGAAAGCTGTTAGATATATTTAATGGTTTCAAAAAAAAAAGCAATACCTATCAATAACTAAATTAATAATTAGGTAGGTATCACAAAAAAAAAGAAAGCCAACAGAGAGCAATAGACGAATAGGTAATTCTTTCTAAAAGACCAAACAACGTTTCATGAAATTCATGAGCTATTTCAAAATGCAAAAATAACTATTTGTAACATGCAAATCTCCACGAAAAAAGCATTTAAAAAGGTGCGTAGCTGAGTTGATTTCATTACCACTCTGAAATCACAAAAACCATAGAAACGCGTACAAATTAATTTATCTTATAGTAGGTACGCCTCATGATGTCGAGTCCACGCAGTCCATTTACATAATGTGTTAGTAACAACTGATCGCAATTGCAAGTAATAATTAGGTATGTTAAGATGAGCAGCAAAGATAACGCCCATCATTATAAATCAATCTATCATTAAAAAGATATTAAAATATCATCACTCGAAAGGCTCTCGGACTAAACACGCCGAAATGGTCTACAGTCTGACCGTCCTAGCACAATTTAAAAGCAATGGGAGCTATAAGAGTTGCAATCCGGTCACAACCAGACCTTTTTCAATCAGACACATTTGCCTAACCTTGATCTATTTAATGTGTTTCATTAAAACAAGCCAATGTTCTCTAGCCCCAACCAATTTGTTGGCCACGAGGGTGGGGCCGTGTAGCAAGGAGAAGAAGTCAGTCATCACCGTGTCAGAACTGGCGATCTACACAAAGATATACGACTCTACCATCTCGGGGTATTTCAACGTGTCTATGAACATCACTAATGGCTGGATTATTAAGGTAACAAACTAGCAGTCAGATATTGCTGTAAGTCTATGTCTAGACCGACTAGACCGGACAATAATTCGCAGTTCCGTTTCCATTCCAAAGACTTTGCAGGGCACCATCAGGTTTTAGTGTGTAGGCCCTGCCTACAGGCAGGATAAGCCCACATAACCCACTAGTCCCACTGAACTCGTAGATGTGCAACTTAATGCATTCCCAGAAGAAAAAATGGCCTATAGTGTCTGTCAATCAAATCAACGTATTAACTTTGGGCTTTTCACTTAGGCGACGATTTCTTTCTTTCGATTGGCCGTCGGTTAACTGCGGCACTCTACCTCAAATTTTAAGCTTCTGTAAGTCTTCCAATTAGATCTCGTAATAAAACTTCCAGCATTTAACATCGTTTTGTGCAAGTTTATTTAGTACGGTAACACAATAACTACGTGGACGTTGACAGGGCACGATGCAGAAGTGCCAGGACATGCGAAACCTGGAGACCTGCGACTACTTCAAGTCGTTCTCGGTGGTGAAGAACGGATGCAGCGAGGACGCGTCGCCTGATGAACAGGACTTGTACACCATGTTTTTTCACCACACCACACCTAGGTAGATATATCTTTGTTAGATACACACGCTCTGTAAGTGTAGGTATTATATCACAATGATTCCCTACACTGCAATTCCCGTGTAGCCAGAATCATCGTCAAAATGGGTAATTTTGACCTCCTGCGTGCAAACGTATTGCTTCTCACCGTTGCAGCGCTCTAAGCTTTCTCTCTCAAATCTATAAATGTCTTCATCATCACTCAGATCTGCGGTGATAATATGCCCAAAATATTTAAATTTTTTAAAATTGAACAATTGAGAGATTTCATTTATACATTATCTTTATTTATTATTGTTTTTATAAACACAACCCAAAAGAAACGAGATCCCGTTTAACCTCAGTTTATCAGTTATCAAGTTTTTTCAATTCAGTCTTAATTAACTGAAAGAATTGTATTCTGTTCTTTTATCAACTGCTCTGCGATAATAACATTACAGATACGTAAGTAAGTAGGACTAATAAACAACAAACATAAATACGGTTTCTATGAGCTCGATCGTAATGGAAAGGATTAATCTTATTCTCTAAAAAGCGATGTGATGTGTCACCATTAAAATCTATTTTTTGCAAAAAATATTTATTTTTTACAATTTATTTTCTCCCACCAAAGTGGGACATGATGTTCAACCACAATAAGGAAGCTAGATGTTATGAACTCTAAATTTCGAGTACTTACCTACCGTAGCAACTACACATTTACCATGCTACATAAAGGTACCAGGAATGCGCTGGATGCAGGCAGCTACCAAACGGGCAACCGGGCGATGTGGAACTTTGGAAGTCATTGGGGGAGACCTATGTTCAGCAGTGGAACGTCCTCTGGCTGAAATGATGAACTGCTAGCGGCAATAGCAGCCAGCTTATCCACGCATCGTGTAATATTGTTCAGGATGTCCTGTCCAATCGAGGCGGGCTCCTACCGCGTGCAAGGATACCCGTTCTTCAATGAGGACAACTACCTGACCGTCTCCGAGTCCAAGATATCCACCAGCCTCTTCGGGTACACCTATAAGCTTGAAGGTACCTCCAAAGACGTAAGGTATGCATACGTACCTACCTACTATCTATTATTATACACTGTACCGACAATTCGCTAGCACGATACGAAACGTCCCAGGATGCAAATGAGCTGTAAACACTTCACCGGCCTATGGTCGTAAGGGGGCTGTGGAGTATCATTAGGATAAAAGCTGTTGTTTTGTACCGAACAAACCCCTTATAAGATGATTGCCCATTGTATAGGTTGCTTGACCTACCGTCGTCTGTGCTTTTCCACACAGATCTTCCAGTGTATCTGCAGTTGCACCAAATATGCGGCAATCGCTCTTCGCCGACTTTCATTATTATAGGCCTTAGTAATAGAATGTTGTATAGTCTGGTCCGGGAGCACGTAGAATTTTGTCCAATGACCCCAAGTTACCCATCCTTATCATCATCATCATTTCAGCCATAGGACGTCCACTGCTGAACATAGGCCTCCCCCATCGATTGGTAGCGGCCTGCGTCCAGCGCTTCCCTGCTACCTTTACGATGTCGTCGGTCCACGTAGTAGGTGGACGTCTCACGCTGCGTTTTCCGGTACGCGGCCTCCATTCCAGAACCTTTCTGCCCCATCGGCCGTCAGTTCTGCGTACTATCACCCAATGCTGTCGCGACTGTGCGACGGGCGCCCGCAGTGAGTGTGCGAGCGTGACAGCAACATAATTGCGCGCGAGCGATAAGGATGGGTAGCTTGGGGTCATTGGACAACATCTACGTGCTCCCGGACCAGACACTCCAAAACTGTATTTTCCAGCTGTTTTGCGTGGAGGCGTACTTGCAGCTGCTATACGTGCGCGAGCACAACTGGGGCAACGACGTGCAGCCGCCCGAGTACACGCCCGCGCCCGGCGCGCCGCCCGCCGACGACATTGACGCCGACGCCGACGACGACGACGCGGATAACCAGCCTTTCTACTGAGCCTGATACCAATACGGCGTAACCCCTTTGTTATGGAAAATTGTTTCGCGACTACCAAGGCGGAGCCGAGAGAAGTGTTTCGAATTACCAATCAGATTTCATTAGTTCCACTTCTCCTCTCCGCTCCGCGCCGCTGTCAAATTCTATAGAAAAAAATATTCGCCCGACACATCTCTCTTCTTCTCTCCGTCTATTGGTGGAAACCGAGCCTTTGGGGTGTGGGAATATGGGAGTATCAAATCTAATGTAGTAGTGTAGAGCCAGGTTCAAACACCACGCGGTTTCTGGTACCTTTGCATCAAACTGTTATCACCTCAATGTTTCGCCAATGAGAACCACCCAAAAACCGCGCGGTTATCGCGTGTGTCCGAACTAGGTCTGAAGCCTATGTACCTGCAGCTGCTATACGTGCGCGAGCACAACTGGGGCAACGACGTGCCGCCGCCCGAGTACACGCCCGCGCCCGGCGCGCCGCCCGCCGCCGACATTGAAGCCGACGCCGACGATGACGACGCGGATAACCAGCCCTTCTACTGATTCCAATACGGCGTAACGCGTAACCCCCTTGTTATGGAAAATTGTTTCGCGACTACCAAGGCGGAGCCGAAAGAAGTGTTTCGAATAACCAATCAGATTTCATTAGTTCCACTTCTCTCCGCTCCGCGCCGCTGCCAAATTCTACAGAAAAATTTGTTCGCCCGACACATCTCTCTTCTTCTCTCCGTCTATTGGTGGAAACCGAGCCTTTGGGGTGTGGGAATATGGGAGTATCCAATCTAATGTAGTAGTGTAGAGCCAGGTTCAAACACCACGCGGTTTCTGGTACCTTTGCATCAAACTGTTATCACCTCAATGTTTCGCCAATGAGAACCACCCAAAAACCGCGCGGTTATCGCGTGTGTCCGAACTAGGTCTGAAGCCTATGTACCTGCAGCTGCTATACGTGCGCGAGCACAACTGGGGCAACGACGTGCCGCCGCCCGAGTACACGCCCGCGCCCGGCGCGCCGCCCGCCGCCGACGACATTGACGCGGATAACCAGCCTTTCTACTGAGGCTGATTTAAAATTGTTGCGCGACATTTGAAAAAATTGTTGGCGACGCCCGGAACAAAGCGGAGAATTGTTTTAAGCAATCAGATTGCATTACCTATTCCCACTTCTCCTCTCCGTGCATTCATCAATTCTATAGAAAAATCGTTCGCCCGACACATCTTCTCTTTTCTCCGTTTCTTGGTGGAAACCGAGACTTTGGGGAGTGGGAGCATCAAATCTAATTTAGCAGGGTAAGGCCAGGTTCAGACACCGCGCGGTTTTTGCTACATTTGCATCAAACTGTACCCGTCTCAATGTCTCGCCAATGATGTGCCAATGAGAACCACCCAGAAACCGCGCGATTACTTTTTTGAACCAGCCGGGCAAGGATGCGCATCGTGGTGATAAACTTTATACGTCGAAGCCAACGATGACGACGCGTATTACCAGCCTTTCTACTGAACTTGATTCCAGGTATGCATACATGGCCTTGATATGGAAAATTGTTGCGCGACTAAGACCACTCCGCACCGCGCCTCGCCGCTGTCAAATTCTATAGAAAAATTACTCCTCCCGACACTTCTCCGTTCTGCTTAGACCGGGCCTTAGAGCTGTAGAGCTAGATCCGATTTGTCTAACATTTTTCAAGTCCGTATTTTTACGGATTCGGATCGGAACTTTCGCTGTTGTGTTTCGAACATTTTACACACCTGAGTGGTGGTAGAGAAAAGTTGTAATTCAAACCGTGTATACGTGTAAGGGCTCCAAAAAGTCTTCCGTACTAATAAATAATTTGACTGTGCGTAAACTTTCAATAAATTATAATTATTAATTTAGGCAGCCTTAGGCCTCAGCCTCGAGTTTAGCGGGCAGCGGGGCGGGAGCGGCGGCGGCGCGGGAGCGGGGCGGGCAACGCAGACCCGTTCTCGAAACAAGCGGGCAGCTCGCGCGGCGCTTTAGCGGCGAAGTGTTGTGTTCGAGGTTGTGTTGTCGAGATATTTGTTTTTATTCGCAAACGAAATGTCTGAACAACGGCGACAATTTTATTTCGATTCAAATTTATTCCTAACGCTCGATTTATTGTGGGCAAAAGAAGGAGTGCGCTGCCCGCTCGTTGCCCGCTCCCGCGCCGCTGTTTTCGAGAACCGGTCTATTTGATTTTACGCATAAGATCCTGCCGCTCCCGCGCCGCCGCCGCTCCCGCCCCGCTGCCCGCTAAACTCGAGGCTGAGGCCTTACTGTTAACGTTTACATTTTAATAAATAAAATCCACATCAACATTAAAATACATTTATTCATCCCAGCCCCACAGTCCGTGGCTCTCGCGAATGGTCTCACGATTGTCCCTTCTCAGCCGCGTGACGGCGCTCGCTTCTCCCTTCGCAATCGCCTTCTTTCTTTCCATTCTCTTCTGCCTATCTTCTAGATTCTTCTTCACCTGCTGCTTCACTACCTCAGGAGCTATGGTACTGGCAGAGGTATACGTCCTCATTGACCTTACATCTGACAATGCTTTCTCAATCATTGCCAGTCTATACTTCTGTGAATTTTTGTCCAATTCTCCAACATTGTCTCTGCCTTCTTCGTTGTCTATGGGCGCTGGAACTAGCTCCGGTATTTCTTCTGTGTCTGGATTGTCTGCTATGTTCAGTGAGGCAGCTTTGTCGGCGATATCTGATATCTTTTTCGTTTCGTCGTGCCTTATTGAGTCGTCCAACTGAAAATGTCGACATCAATATTATCTTGAATAGATGAACATTGCTTTGAAAACAATAACTAACTACTGTAAGTGCAAAATACTTGTGAAGAAACTTACGTTGCTATAATTATTAACTTTTCGAGTGCATAATATTGCAAATGTTTTCTGCACAGGTTATTTTAATTTTCAAGTACGTGACTCATATCAACGATTGTGGTTGAATGAGTTTATTTTCGTATCAAATGATCACGTAAATTACTTGCTTTAAATAAAGGACTCAAAATATTGTTTATGATACGTTATAAAGCTTTTTGTTGTAAATTAATATTACGTAAGGTTGTAAGTTGTAAACAAATATAAAAATTGATCGACATAATCAACAACACATGAAATTGACGAACTTGGCAACACTATCAGAGTTCCCTATCATTTTAAAACGATACAAAATAAGACTAATAAACGAAGTGCAATAGCAATTTTCATAAATCGTTTCATCCACCAAGACGCGCCCCACCAATTTTGGTCTCGGTCGCGCGGGGTGCGGGGAGTTTGATCCGAGCAATCCGAGGCATTATTGTAGTGTGCGTGTGTACTCATAGATGATTTAGCGTGTACCGATAACACTCAAACATTAGCGGAAGAATGGTGGGGCGCGTCTTCGTGGATGAAACGATCTAAAGCCTGGTCCGTGAGCACGTAGAATTTTGTCCAATGACCCCAAGCTACCCATCCTTATCGCTCGCGCGTAATTATATTGCTGTCGCGACTGTGCGACGGGCGCCCGCAGTGAGTGTGCGAGCGCGACAGCAACATAATTACGCGCGAGCGATAAGGATGGGTAGCTTGGGGTTATTGGACAAAATTCTACGTGCTCACGGAACAGGCTTTATATGAATGTAGGACACTGATATGCGGTCCAGTATGCAGTCTTACCTGTTTCCTGAGCGCCGCAAGTTCTTCGTCAGTATAGTTGGTGTTTTTATCAGGTTCCTCGGCATCTTCACCTGCGCTTTCCTCGTCGTCGCTCACCGCTAGACCGATGCCCATTTCCTATAACAAAATATGATTGATTTTAGACTTGTCCTACTATAATATTATAAATGCGAAAGTTTGGATGTCTGGATGTTTGTTACTCTTTCACGCAAAAACTACTGAACGGATTTTGTTGAAACGTATTATTGTTTGTAAACCAGATAAACATACAGGCTTTAATTTATGCCGATCTGTGACACTAAATTTCACGCGGGTGAAGCCGCGGGCAAATAAGTTATAATATTTCTTGGACTTTACAACGAGGCGATAAGATTCAAAATATTGTAAGAAATACATCCCAACAGCGTTTCGACGAATTAACCAGGTTCAAGTGGAACTTAGCAGATTTCCCAGTTGGGAAAAAAGCATATATACGCTGCTTCTTCCAGTCCTTGGCCACCACTCAGGACCTCTATTGCTGTTTATTTTTCTCTGAATCATCTCTGACAGAGCGGTAATTCCGTCTAGAAATATACCACGAAAAGTTTTCAAAACTACTCCAGCGTCTATAGAATATCGTCATTCACTGTATTAGAGTAGGCGCACACCGTTGATTTTTAGTTGGCCGATAGTTGTGCCCGATTTTCATTTGTATGAAGAATCGGCCAAATTGAATCGGCGTAGTGTGCGCACTCCCATACATGCCCATACTGATCAACTGCCCGACTAAACTATCGGCCGACGAAAAATCAACGGTGTGCGCCTACTCTTAGTCTTAGCTTAGAACAGTTGATGCTGACTGCTTTAGATTGTCTGTGTGTGGTAATTCTAAGGCGACGATGTACGGCCGCCACTTAGCTTCGTTTCACCCACCTCTAGTAACTGGTCTTCATCAGCTCTATTCCGCTTGTAGCCCGAACAAGCCACCTCAGCGTCCAGCTCATCTCGCTCCAGGTCAGAGAACCGCGGGTACAGGTCGCTCTCGAAACCGAAGTATTTCTTGGCTGTAATAGCTGTTGTTTAATTTTGGCATTTACCTCGAGTAGCTGGTCTTCATCAGCTCTATTTCGCTTGTAGCCCGAACAAGCCACCTCAGCGTCCAGCTCATCATCTCGCTCCAGGTCAGAGAACCGCGGGTACAGGTCGCTCTCGAAACCGAAGTATTTCTTGGCTGTAATAGCTGTTGTTTAATTTTGGCATTTACCTCGAGTAGCTGGTCCTCATCAGCTCTGTTCCGCTTGTAGCCCGAACAAGCCACCTCAGCGTCCAGCTCATCATCTCGCTCCAGGTCACAGAACCGTGGATACAAGTCGCTTTCGAAGCCGAAGCGCTTCTTGAAGAATTCGCGCACGCACTTTACGTCACGGTCGAAGTACCTGTTGAAAAAGAAGTTGTTTTAGTTAAAAATCTACAAGGACACATGGAATTTGGTGACACAGGAAGGCTCCAGTTTAACCAAAATACTTAACACATGAATTTAGGTAAATAAAGAAACCATCGAAGCCATTCACCGTATGGGAACGGCCAGTATCGTCGACTAATAAGTCTCTGTAAATAACTAGTTTTGCCTAACTACCCTGTATACGTAATATAAACTCACAGTTCAGCATTGGGATGACTGTGTCGTAGATACCATCTGTGGGAAGTCGATGATGACCGGACAGCCAGCCTCATCAACGTTGTATTCAAGTCCTGTAATTGATTCTACTTCTGTCTGTCCACCCTGAATACATAAACCATACTCACAGCTCAGCGTTGGGATGGGATGTGGACACCATCTGCGGGAAGTAGATGATGACCGAACAGCCTCATCAACGTTGTATTTATGTCCTGTAATTGATTCTACTTTTGTCTAGCAACCCTGAATACGTAAACCATACTCACAGCTCAGCGTTGGGATGGGAAGTAGACACCATCTGCAGGAATTCGATGATGACAGAACAGCCAGCATCATCCACATTGTATTCAAGTCCTGTAATTGATTCTATTTTTGTTTGTCCACCATGAATCAGCCTCATCAACATTGTATTTAAGTCTCCTGCAATTGATTCTACTTCTGTCTGTCCACCCTGAATACATAAACCATACTCACAGCTCAGCGTTGGGGTGGGAAGTAGACACCATCTGTGGGAAGTCGATGATGACGGGACGGCCAGCCTCGTCGATCATGATGTTGAACTCGTTGAAGTCTCCGTGGATGACGCCGCAGTTGCCGAGACGTACAATCAGGTTCATCAGCTCGTCGTATAAGGATCCAGGGTCTTCCACTTCTGTTACGTGGGTTCTGTGAAACAAGCAAGATTGAAAGGATAAAACCGGGTGATTTAAAGTAAGGTTCTAGAATAGTATCATAACTGTTACGTCTAATGTACATGACATAACAAACAAGGCAGGGAAAAATTAGATGCACATAGCCAGCGACAGGGATAGGTGGAAAATGATGGAGGAGGGTTTTACCCAAGTGGGGCCACAAACAAGAGATACCGATTAATTAAAAAAAAACTGTTTAAATGTGGAATGTAAAGCTATAATTAAAAAAAAGTCTAACGTAATGTAGATATTATGGTTTTAATACTTACAAAGGCCCTCCTTGCACCAGATCCATCACAACGCAGTGTCTGTTGAAGTCTATTGGCTTTGGAACAGGAAAATCTCTGTCATATAGTGCCTAGAATGTAAGAAAAAGTTTATTAGTTTCAGCCTACATTTTATAAATTCATGTATTCATGTTCTCTTTATATTTCTGTAAAACATAAATTTTGAATAAGAATAAAGTACATTACTTTTTTTTGTTGTGTTCATTTTCCATCCGCCCCAAGAATGAGCAAATCGGTTCTGTAATGGTGACTTTTTTATGTATAATTATTTGCACTTTTTTCTTACCTTCATGTAGGCAAACTCCTTGGTGGCCGAAATACGTGACAGGTAAAGCCAGGAGGCGCGGTTGCGATGCGCGTGGTAGTCGCGTTTATCTTTGACGTTGCGGAAACATGTTCGGCCCAACCTAACAAGTACAATGATTGTGAATTAGCAAGAACTTGCATAATACTTGTGTTCAATTGTGAAGATACAATTGAAAATTCAAGCAGTGGATGTTCATATCATTACTTTTTAAGATAATCACATAATATTTGGAATAATGTAAATCCCTGGGGGAGGCAACAAACATAAGGAGGAACAAACATAACATTTAAATTCACCTATGAAGTTTCAAGCACAGTGGATTGCGATCCTCATCAGCGACTGTGTAAATGTTGGACTCTTTCCCCACTCCGATTTGATTGCCAAATGAGGCAATTACTTTACGGTTGGTCAGCGCTTTCAGAGCCAGGTAGTCATAGCCCGCATTGGTAAGACGATAGCCATCGTCTGGAAAAATAATATTGTTGTAAAATGATGGCACTTATTAATTTCAATTCTGAAAAAACATAATCCTCCTTTCTGGCGCAGTCGGGTAAAAAGACGTTTAACTGTCTCTATAAATCTCTATTTTTGCTATCAGCTCAAAGAGGTAATTTTTGTATTGTAAAACTAGTGTTAAATGTAGTTATAACTTTAACTTACATTGCTTTCCACGTTCATAGGTTAGAAGCCTGTGTTTACATAGCTCCTTCATTAATTTGTGCACGCCACCATGTCGGAGGTTCGCAATAGATGCTACGAGGGAGCCAGGAACTAATTCGTGATTTTTCATACCCATTTCCACCTGAAAAGAGTAAAAATATTAGTATTGAGGTTACAAAGTAGTTATCAACAACTTACTGGGTGGTACTTACCGCTGTGAGTACACGAAAATCTTCACTGGTTAAATAGCGTAATATTGCTACGTCTAGCTTGCCCATTTTCGAGAAAATTGCCTTAGATTTAGCAGGGGCATTAAAATAACATGAAAATAAAACGTGAATCCAGCTCCAGCTGACATAAAAGAGTTTGTCAACATTAAATGTCAAAAATGTCAAAATTTTGTCGAGAACTCAAGTGAGCATTACGTGTAATGGAATGCAGTAATTTTTGGTTTTTGCCCTTTTGCACAACGCTTTTGGTCAATACATATTATGTTAACGAAAAAATGTAATCAGTGTAAGGTGTTTCTGATAAGCAATCACTTTTGCAATGACGTGGACGTGTTGTATGAGTATTTGTAATAAATAAGTTGTGATGATGAGATGCGTAAACTGAACCACGGAAGTACGCCATTAGTCATTGTCAAAATTGACAGATTCCCCCCACCCCCCTTCCTTGACCTTCACCGTTCGGCAGCAAGAGGCCCGCCCACCCTCTTGAAAATCTGAATTTCTGAAAACTTTATTTGCAAGTTGTTTGTTTTGTAATTTTAAAATTAATTTCATGTACATATTGGTGTAAATTTGCAGTGCGTACTTCGTTCCCCTCCTCCGTAAGAAAGAAAAAGTTATTTTTGAGCTAAGAAGATCCCAAAAATAAATATCAAGATTTATCTTTGTATTTTGTATGTAGTGTCTACAAAAAGAAGTTGTTGGTTCTTGACTAGGTTGCCCTTCCAAGTGTGCGTTTAAATTATTGCAATGGAGGTTGGCTTTGCTAATGGAACAATAACACTGGACAGTGACAAAGCTGTATACTATCGTGGACAATTCATTACTGGAAATGTCAGCTTTAGGCTGGGGGAGCCAGTTAATGTATCAGGTATGTAAAGGCCAATATTATTATGCTCTCAAATTATATGTTGGACCATACTCAATAATTTTTCTTATTATTTTCCAGCGATTAATATCCAGTTTTTGGGCATGGCCCAAGTGATATGGTCGGAACGTGAAGAACACAAACAGCATGGAAGGAGTTTTGAGACGACTGTGCAGTACAAAGCGGAGGAGCAGTATTTCAATGTTGTGCAGTGCTTATATGGCGGGCAGGGTTCGTTTTTTTGTTTCATATTTTGTTTAGACTATAATAACTATAACAATGCATTACAACAGGAATTATCTATTGTATTATATTCCCTTTTTATCTATTACTCTATTAGTAATGCATATTAGCACTAGATAAGATGCCATCTGTAAAAATAAACAATGCATACTATGAGTCAACTTTTGAATAATAGAATAGTGATAATACTTTTATTTACAATAATTATCTGGATGCATATTATAAAAAGCTATTTTTCATGAAAAATACTAGATGAGTGATGCATTGTTAAGCCTGTTACCTGATTGCATTTACGTACTTTATAGATATGAACCAAATTTTCCAGGTGTAACCCAACTACCACCAGGCCCTCATTCATTCCCGATCCAGTTCCAAATACCGCCAACTGTGCCCTCATCCTTCCAAGGGGAGAGGGGGCAAGTGGATTACGAAATTAGGGCAACTATGGAGTACCCAATCCAGAAAAGGGATGAACTTGTGAAACTGTTTACAGTGGTTGTACCTACTGACTTGAATAAGGAAGACCCTGAAATAGCTGTGAGTAAAATCTTAGAAAGATTTGCCTTTAAGTACCTAAATTAAAAAAAATACAATTATAGTTTGGTCTGTGAGCACGTAGAATTTTTCCAATGACCCCAAGCTACCCATCCTTATCGCTCGCGCGTAATTATGTTGCTATCGCGCTCGCACACTTACTGCGGGTGCCGTAATTATGTTGCTATCGCGCTCGCACACTTACTGCGGGTGCCAGTCGCACAGTCGCGACAGCAATATAATTATGAGCGATAAGGATGGGTAGCTAGGGGTCATTGTACAAAATTCTACGTGCTCACAGACGGGGCTTTATCATTATTCACTTCTGTGCCTCATCTGCATGGATTACAATTAACCTTTTTTCCCCAGAAACCGCAAACCCTATCTTTCGAAGAAGTGTTTAGCTGCTCCTGCAGCCCCCGGCCTCTGACGATAAATGTGGGGCTTCCTGTGGCTGGCTTCTGCCCGGGGCAGGTCATACCGGTCACGGTGAATGTAAAGAACAAGGCAAATCGTAAAGTGAAGAAGGTTATACTGCAGATTGTCACAGTAAGTTTTACTAAACTATTTAAATATTATTGTAAATACTGCATCATTGAGAATTGGACTTGACTTTTTTGAGCTGTCAAATGTGATTGCCCTCATAGATTTTTATACGAAAAGGAATCAGGGTTAAATGAAATGTTTAAACAATGTTGGTTGTGCGTCGTAATTGTTGGTTATCTAGATACCATTAAAATATACTATTAAACATTGTTCATTGGGATACAAATGAGGTATTATCGCGTCATTTTCCAGCGCACCCGCTACCACAGCCAGCAACCAGTGGCCAAGTACACGACGCCAGAAGAAGTGCTCGCGTCAACCAAAACCAAACCTGTGCTCAGCAACATGGAGCGTCACTACTCGTGCGAGCTCCAGTTGCCTGCTTTTATAGCGCCTAACTTGGACAGCTGCGGTATCATGGATATCGGGTACTTCTTCAAGGTAAGAACCCGCTTCCACAACCGGCAACCAGTGGCCAAGTACACGACGCCAGAAGAAGTGCTCGCGTCAACCAAAACCAAACTTGTGCTCAGCAACATGGAGCGTCACTACTCGTGCGAGCTCCAGCTGCCTGCTTTTATAGCGCCTAACTTGGACAGCTGCGGTATCATGGATATCGGGTACTTCTTCAAGGTAAGAACCCGCTTCCAAAACCGGCAACCAGTGGCCAAGTACACGACGCCAGAAGAAGTGCTCGCGTCAACCAAAACTAAACCCACGCTCAGCAACATGGAGCGCCATTATTAAGCTGTAGACAATGTTAATCATATGAATGCTATGAAATTCTGAAACCCGTAATAAATACAATTTGTAATTTGACTTAGCTGAACCCTCATATTCTTTAGCGCTTAAATATCTATAGCAACCTCCCATATCCCTAATTCCCTATATTACAATTATTACAGCATTTGTTTTTACCAATTTATCTTTTAGCTGACGCAAGCTTATCAATTTCAGGTGGTAGTCAAATTGTCAGGATGCACCGACGACCTGGAAGACGCAGGTGAAATCTTCATGGGGCAGATACCGCTGGCCAACTTCACGGACGGCCGCTACGAGCATCCCATGGCACACAGCCTGCCTTCGGGGCCGGTGCCAGAATACTTCCCTCAATCAGAGCCCGCGACGACCCAAATCAATCCAGTCAATGCGTTCCACACTCAATCCGTTAACCCACAAGTCAACATGTACCCAGGTTACCAACATCCTCAAGCTAATGTATACCCGGGTGCGGTACATCCACCATCGAATCAGGTCAGTGCGTACCCAGGATACCCACAGCAGCCTCTGATAAGCCCCACGGCACCGGTCCTGGATGCTTACCCTCCCACCTCGAGTGTAAGCAATCCCATGTACGATATGGGCTTTAGAGCGCCAGGGTATCCTGGTCAACAGTAGGGATGCACGGAGATCCGGTTCTGCAAAATATAATTGAGATATAAGATGTAGGTCTTAAGCCAGGCCAGCATTTTTACGTAATAATTACGTTTTAGAGATTTCGATCAGTCACAGACCAAAATAAAGAAAAACGAGTTTATCAACATATTTGCGACGTACTTAGAGGTAATTAATTTATAATTTCTTTAAATTAAAAGACTGATTATAAAACAATCAATGTTAGATTTAACATCAGTAAACAATACAAAAATATACCAAATTATGTTCGGAATCTCTAAATTTAATAGTTAAATCTCAATAATTTATTAATGATGCGAAATTGATTGATTGCTTTATTAGAGTAGGCGCACACCGTTTATTTTTAGTTGGCCGATAGTTGTGCCCGATTTTAAATTGTATGAAGAATCGGCCAAATCGAATCGGCGTAGTGTGCGCACTCCCATACATGCCCATACTGATCAACTGCCCGACTACTATCGGTCGACGTAAAATCAACGGTGTGCGCCTACTCTTAGGCTTGAAATATGTCTTACTTGTTTACTTAAGTACACAAAAGATGCAGTACCCTCTTTGACACAATTTCACGTAATTCAATAATAATTTTATACAGGGTGTTAGGTAAATGGGTATATGAGCCAACACTAGCCCATGTTAACATGGGCATATAAATGGTATGGTGAAGTCAGAAATTTGATATCATCATTTTAATTTTTCAAATTTTCATACAAATATTTTTTTTAAAATCCGGTTTGTATGAAAATTAAAATTATTAAAATGAAGATATCAATTTTCTGACTTCACCATACCATTTATATGCCCATGTTAACATAGGCTAGTGTCGGCTCATATACCTATTTATCTAACACCCTGTATACTTAGGCTAAGAGAATAATTATAAGTGATCTACAAGTGCCTCATTAAAATGTATGCATTTATTATTAAGCTGTTAGTGTATTTTTGATAGTCATTTATTCGGTCGTCGATCGTTTGTAAACAAAATGATTAAATGATGTTTTATTATGGTTTCGACAATCTCTAAAAATATAATAATATTGATTAGTAATAACGACATAAAATATATTCATTATTTTTGTTTGTTAAGTTATTGTTATAAAATAAATAAATAAGTTATTTTTAAGAAACACGAGCAACTAGATTAGATTAAGATCTTCATTCTTTAGAATATAGTATTAATAAAATTCCAAATACCATTTTTGGCCTCCTGTGGTCCTAAATTTAGTGAATGATACTCGTATGCGTCTGAGACTAGTCAGTGAAAAGTAACAAGACAACTTTAGTCCATTTTTGAGGTTTGTATCTTTCTTGGGAAATCCCAAATTGTTATAACTGTCTAGCAAACTTTTCAAACATATTCTTGAATCCCAACTATAATATTATAAATGCGAAAGTAACTCTGTCTGTCTGTCTGTCTGTTACGCTTTCCCGCTTAAACCTCGCAACCGATTTTGATGACATTTGGCATAGAGATAGTTTGAGTCCCGGGAAAGAACATAGGATAGTTTTTATCCCGGTTTTTGAAACAGGGACGCGCGCGATAAAGTTTTTCTGTGACAGACAAAATTCCACGCGGGCGAAGCCGCGGGCGGAAAGCTAGTACTAAATAAATAATAAAATATGTAATATTTGGTGCTATAAGTTACTACAGTTACCAATACTTATTATAGAAAGTATAAATATTTTTCGATATTTTTAAACTCTTCTTAAGGATCAGAGGTGAGAGTGCTTTTTTAAAAGTAATGTACGGCACCAACAGATATCGATTTATTAAATAACCGACATCAATAATTCCACAAATCAAATGAACGTAATAAAGAAATATGCCTATGGCAGAAATAATGATCTAGGTCACAAATATCACAGTCCCTGAACCGAGAGAACGTCCGTCACAGCCAAGCGCTCGAGCAAAGTGTCGCGGTGCGCGGGGCGGCCGGTTTCTCGTGCCTTCCCTCTCTAAGACAGAGACAACAGGATCGAACGATATGACGTCACGCTGACGTAGCGGGTGTTATTTCTAAGACGGCCGTTCCTGATCGTGCGGCGTCCTCGACCGCNAATATCCCTATCCAGCAGTGGACGTCATTTTTGGCTAAAACGAACGAACGCATTCTGAGCAGTAGTCATGGTAGGTTAGGTTCCTATACTATCCTAAAAATTATTGATTACCTACATGGCCAACAACATACCTTTCAGCATCTTTGGGAAGCGAAAAAAAGATAAATCCGGTAGATTTCTTTTCGAATTTAAACACCCGAACGCCGCACAATAATATTTCTTTCTCTTTATGTCCATTTTTAAATAATACTTCGATCATAGAATTAGGTATTACAACGCACGCCAGCGTCCTGACGGGCGCGCGCGTGACACTCGACCACACTCGACTGATATATTACCCGCCGGCGGCAGGGTTGCCAGATATCAGCTAACTCAATTCGCCTAATTTTTCCTACCGAGTAGCCTAAATCGCCTAATATTTTTTGTTTCTCAAAGTAGCCTAATTCGCCTAATTTTTTGAGCTAAGTATACAAAAATTGTTAATAGAAATACATATCAAATCGACACATTAATGACAAACAGCTGTTTATCTCTTTCTAACTCACCCATGGTGACGTATGAAAAAAGAGATAGAAAATGTTTGGTCAGTACTCATTCTGGCAACATTTTTATATGACGTCACTACCTGACTTGTGCCGAGTACGAGATTTAAGAAAACAACATGGCAATCAGCTGACAACTACACACACAAACACGCGCGCGCGCGTGCGCACACACACACACACACCTGTCAGCTGATTGCCTATGTTGCGGCCATGTTGTTTTCTTAAATCATGTGTGTGTGTAATGTATGTACTGAGCACGTTTATTTTAAAGTTACGCCAAGTCCATGAGATGAGATACCTATCCTTCTAATATTATAAATGCGAAAGT